CCGTACCGGACCGGGGACCGGCAACGGGATTGCAAGCCTTCGGTGTTGCTCCCGCGCCTCGCTCAGCCAGTGAGCGGGAGCCGGTCTGTATGTGGGATCCGAACCCTCGGACGGGAGCGCCGCCGCGCTTCCCAAGCAGTGCACTATCCAGTGCGCCACCGGGCCGGCCCGGCTGTGAAAATTTTTATGTTGATAAGCCTTGGTCTTGTTTATGGTATTGTTAAAGATCCGGTAAAAGCCATGAAGTATCCAAAATTGAAATTTGTCTCTGTACACTGTTACGAACACCTTCCGTCGCATTTGGTTGATGTTTCAGATCTCTCCCCACGATGTGGGCATCCTCAGTCATGTTGAGCAGGTGGCCGTCTCATTCTTCCCTTGAGCTGTAACAGGAAGCAAATGTGGACGCTCTGGTATCTACTGTGGAAGGGACATCCTTCATTACAGTAGAATTTAGTTAAGGATGGAAGAGTGAGCTGATTCACAACCCTTTTCCCTCCTTATCAGCTGCCCAAAAATGATATCTGCAGCAGGTAGACCACCATTCTCAGGGCTTGTAGAGGATACAAAAATGAGTAATATACATTGGGGATGAGAGGTGGGGACAAAAGATAAATAACCATCTGTCTCACTTGGCAGAGTAAAGTGTGATAAGTGTAAAAACAATACAAAAAAAAAGTACTCAAAGGATCGATGGGAGGACAAACTTACCTATAAGAGAGAACTAGAAGTTTTTTTATAGAAGTTGCAGTTCAACTGGCCCTAAGCTGAGTATTGTCAGGAAAAGGGATTCCAAACAGAGAAAAGTCAATGAAACCACAGGGCCAGAAAAAGCCTTAGCTATGTCTTGGAAACAATAAGAAGTCCCATTTAGCTGACCATGAGATGATAGGTACACGAGGGATTAGACAGAGAGGTAAGCGGGGCTATGTAGAACTGTACACTGAGTATGGTAGCCACTAGTCCTGTGTGGCAATTTTAGTTAAAATTAATTAAAAATGAAGTATGATATATAATTCAGATCTTTAGTCTCAATACCACATTTCAACTGCTCAAGATGCAGAGGGAAGAAAAGTTGAATGTCTCTAGTTCTCCTTAGTTTCTTCCACCTTTATTCATTTTTTGTAAGCAAATCCACAACATTTGCTGTGTGGGAATGCACACACATTCAACCTCACTCAAAGTTTCTTTCAGTGACTCAGCTGAAGAGAGAGCATCGTAATTTTAAGACAGGGATTCTAAAAAAGAATATGAAATTTAAAAAAAAGCTTTCTGTTTTTCTGTGGGGTTTTAAGTCTGTTTTCCTTTTTTTCCCCCTTTAGTTGGGCATGTTAGAAGAAGATCTATTTGCCTTGAAATCTCCTTCAAAAGAAAATATTGCAGATGTCTTAGATGCTTACCATACAGAGGTAATCTTGTTAATATAACTCAGGTTCTAATTCATGGGGAAAGGGAAGTGATTAAAAAATTAGAAGTTGGTAAATATTATAGTTTGTGGATGTAAATAAATATACCGGGGAATTATTTACTTTAAAGCTTGGTGGGAGAATCAGTGCTTCACAATTGCTAGGATAGCCATCTCATAAGATGACTTCTTTGCTGTGAAACTTCACAGCCTGTCTTCTCACTCCTGGTGAACTTCAGTGCATAGCCTTGTGATCAGGGCTTTTTACACACAGTGTAACATTTCTGTAATGGAGCTTCAAAGTTGACAATATTTGTGGAGCTGCTATAGTGAAACTCTGATATAGTGTATATATATTTAATAATAAGTGTTTACTTCTAATTCTTTACTTATGTTGTCTAACTTCAGTTTTCTTGTAAGAGCCAAGAATCTAAAACACTACATACCTTGCAGTTAAACATGATGATTGAATATATGTTGCCTCCTAAAACTCCACTAAAATTGTAATAAAGGAATGAAAAAGGCATAAATCCACAAAGACAAATAGAACAGAAAAGGAGACAGTGGCAGATGTGAGATGTTAATATTTTGGAAGCTTGAAAGCAGAAGGGATGATGGCAGCTAACTTAGACCTAGAATGCTGAAAATTATCCTTCAGTAGGAGAAGCCAGTAAACGGCAAGCTGATTCTTGCTGTAGACCCTTTTGAAGGCACCAGGTCCCTCTGAAGATTGGGGTGTGGAGTAGGGAAGAAACACAGGAAGATATTTTATAAGCAGAAGTTATAAGCAGCAGTTAGACCTCCAAAAGTCTTCCTCCTGTACAACCAAGAGCAGCTGTTCTTTCATAGTCTGGCAGAGGAGTAGAGACTTAGTCCTTCAAGAGATCAAATTAGACAGGTCCAGCTGAGAGTGGGGATGGGTAAGATGCTGTACTAAAAAGAAGCAAAACATATTAAATGCGAAGATCTCCAGCCCTATTTGGCTTGAAGAGCTTCTGTATGCCACCCCACTCCCAAGCAATAATTGGAAGAAAAAGAAAAAAAGTCTGTAGATATTGACATATGGACCTCTTAAAGACACATCCAGGTACTTGCCTTATCATCTTATAATCCATCATATAATTGACAGTCCTATAACTGCAATTGATACTACACAGTTTCCTAATCTTAGTTCTTCACACAGAAAGCTAAGTATTCTTGGGCCACAACCAACAAAAAAAGGCACTGGAAGGAAGCAGACAATGCAAGGAGAAGGAAACTTTAAAAAAAAAAAACAAAACACCAGCCTATGATTGTAATCTTCAGATAAGAGAAAAACATTTCATATATGAAATGACAGGTGTTATAAAGAGTTCAAAGAATAAGAAATTAAAAATATGAAAGCAATATGGAAAAAAATAATAGATTAAAATTGATGGTTGTGGAAAACTCCAAGAAAGAAGAAGAAAAGGACAATGGGATTGAAAATGGAGAGAATGGAAAACTAGAGGTATTCAGGAGGTCCTATATCTAATTATTTGGAATTCATAACAGAGAAGATAGAGGGAAGAAAATATTTAGAGAAATAGTACAAAAAAATTACCCAGAACTGAAGAACATGAGTGCAGATTGATGGCCACCGAGTACTTGGTGCAGTGAATATGAATACAAAGAATATGAAGATTTTATCCGTTTTTGTTAGAGACTTTGGCAGTCTTTCATGTTATCAAGTTGGGTACTTATGGGATGGATTTTGGTTTGTGGGGATTGAAGGGCCTTAACAAAGAGTTCTGTTAAATGAGTGGGTATTGGACTTTTCAGTATTTTTCTCACTGATTCGGGTGAGAATGGTGACAGCATTTTGATTGAAACTAAGAAAAATACGTTGTTAGGTAAAAGAATATGGATGAAAAAAAAAACCCTTTGAGTACTCTGTTTAATAGTAACAAGGTGATATTTAATAAAGATAAGTGAAAATCTTGTACTTCCAAGTACTAAATTCACAAGTAAAGAATGGAAGACATACAGCTTACAGTGGCACAAGTTAAAAAAAAAGACAGCTTTAATTGATGGGCCGCATGATAGGCCTGCCTCTGCACGAACTCAGAGTTAGTCCTATTAGTAAAAGTATTGTATCCAAAACAAACCAGGGCATCTGGAGCCCTGTTGTACTTTGCTGTGATATAGCCACACCTGCTGCTAAGCTATGTATTCCACACTGGAAGAATGACCTTGAGAAAGTGGAACCTGTCCAAAAAAAGGAACTGGATTGTGAGGGGACACAAAACAGTGCCATGTGAGAATTGATTAAGGTGAAAGAGAGATTAACTAGAATTGTAAACATAAGAGGACTGATTTTTGGCCCTCAACTAAAACAACAACAAAAACCCAATTATTATAGTTGTTGAAGCACTTGTGAGCTCCTTCTCGAAGTGCTGTTTCTCTGCCTGGAGGTCAGTGCTGGAGGGATGCCAGGAATGTACTGGCAATTTCTAGATCAGGTGGAAATTTGGGCAGGATGACCTTTCATGTTCCCTACAATCCTTAAATTCATAGATATATTTTAATGATGATGTGTCCTACATAATGACATAAATAAAATACAAGGATATTTTTGATTTTGGCACTTTTAAGAGCTAGTCTGGAGTACTACATACTGTCTGAATTTTGAACATATGGTGGTAGTTATTTGTGAGACTGTTAGATGCAATTTGACTGAAAGTGATAATCTGTCACAATGTGTAAATATGATTAAATTTTTAAGGATTTTTAAAAGATGCGAGTTACTTCAAATTGATTAAAATATTTTTCTTTTCAAACAGTCCAAGATTGATCAAGACAAGTCTTTTATACTTGAGGAACACATGGAGAAAATAAACAGGTACTTGACAAAGAGATCTCAATTCTCATCTATTCCTTTGGAAAGACTATGTTAAATTGAATTCGTTAACATTTTAATTACATTTTGTTTGATAACACACTGAATTTTGCTATCAGATAGCATAATGCTTTTATTTACCCTTACCTCTGAAAGTAGCTTCTTGCCTCTTTCAGGGGGGAAATAAATTCATTATATTTAAGTAATCTACCATGCTAATTCATCTTAGTGCAAAAGATTTTTTTTTTTAAAGTGGGGAAGAAAGGCTAGAAAATAATAATTGAATCAACTTATCCTTTATCTTTGTAAAGTCATCTTCCCTGAAGGTCTTATTCAGCCAATTAGAAAAAGGTTTTGTACAGTGGTTTGAGAGATTGACAGACTGGCTTAAGGAAACAAGAGGAGGAAAACTATTGGAAAATAAGACAGCCATCTCTACATGTTAGAAGCATCAGTTTTTCACAGTTGAAATATTTATTTACATATAAGTACAAAATAGATGCAAGAAAGCAAAAGGAAGGAAAAAATTTACCTTTTATTTGCATTAGTGAAGATAGACTACAGACACTTACCCAGGGATGTAATGTTCTATTTCATCATCCTGTAAAGTAAATTGAGAAATTCTTCATTATTGAAATGGGTGTGGGGAGAAGCCCGTGTTAGATTCATTGTTATCTTAGAAACAGGAAATCACTTGCACATTGGTGAAATCGTGTGTTTCCTTTTTTATAGCTGTTTTTCAGCCAATACTATGGAACAGATTATTGAAAATTTACGGCAAGATGGTTCCTCTTTTGCTCTAGAGCAGTTGAAGGTAATATATGGATCCATTCTGCAAAGACTGAGTGTGGTGAAGTCTTGTGACAGAGAAACCTCTCTGAGGGCCATGAGTGCTTTGTGGTGGTGACATAGCCTACAGCATTGTGTTTTTTCCCCCAAATTCAGGTGAGCTGCAGAAAGCAATTCCACTAAACTTTGAACTAAACCCAAGTGCTGTGTCTGCCTGCTGGTTGTTGAGGGCAAAGCCAAGCTGGTTTTAAGTCCTTTGAATCTAACAGAGAAGGACTTTAGTAAGCATGCTTCATTTCCAAATAGTCCTCCTTGTCTTGTGGGGGAAGTTTTCAGGGACATTTTTATTAGAGCGATTAGATCACTGGAGAATAGTCACCTTATGATATATTGCAATTGTGACATTAATCCAAGTGGATTGAATTATGTCCCTCCAAAACTCACTGAAGCTTGAATTGTGTCCCCCAAGTTTTATGTATTAGAAGCTTAGCCCCCACTCTGACTGTTAAGAGGCTGGGGAATCCTATTATGGTAATTGAAAAGTGGGGCCTTGAAGAGGTGATTGGCTTGTAGGACCATGCAGTAACAAATGGATTAAAATTGGTGGTTGGGGGCGTGATTCTGAGGGCTTTAAAAGAAGAGGGGAGTCTGTCTTTCTCGCTCGCTCTGCTCTCTCTGCTTCCACCATCTTGCAATTTGAGACCCCTGGGTCACTGTCACCACCACCAGATGGACTTTGGATTTCCCAGCCTCAGAAACTGTAAGCAATAAATTTTGCTTTCTTTATAAATTACCCAGTTCCACGTGTTTTGTTATAAGCAACACAAAATAGACTAATACAGAAAATTGGTACCAGAGAGTTGGGGTGTTGCTTATAACAGATACTTGAAAATGTGGAAACAGCTTTGGAACTGGGTGTTGAGGAGAGGTTGGAGGAGTTTGGAGGATTCAGAAGAAAACAAAACGAAGAGGGAAAGTTTGGAATGTCTTAGAGACTGGTTTCATGGTGGTGAGCAGAATGCTGATAGAAATATGGACTATAAAGACCATTCTAAGGAGGTCTCAGACAGAAGTGAGAAGGAGTTTATTGGAAACTGGGGCAAAGATCACCTTTGCTATGAACTGACAAGAAACATGGCTGCATTGTGTCCATGCCCTAGGTCTTCGTGGATGTAGAAACAGGAGCTGTGAACCCCAGAGCATTTGGTAGAAGAAATTTCTAAGCAGAAAAGCGTTAAAGAAGCTGCATGGCTACTTGCAACAGACTATGCTGAGTTATGGCAGCAAAGGCACGACATAAATCCAGAATTTAAAAGAGATGCAGAGTATAAAGATTTGGAAAATTTGTAGCCTTGCCATGTGGTAGAAAAGCAGAGAGCATTTTCAGAGGAAAAGTCCAATGTTGCTAAGAAGGTTAGTACAAAGGAAAGGGATTATCAAGGGAAGAAGAAGGCCCTGAAGGCATTGCAGAAGCCTCTGGGGCCAACTCTTCCATTTCTGGCACAAAGATCTAGGGAGACAGAATTGTCTTGGGGAACAGGCTTGAGGAGGCCTCCACAGGCTCACTGCCCAGGACCACCTCGGGAAGCTGCTTCCAGCACCAGCACCCTAGCTGCTTTGGCTACTCTATCTGGGGCTAAATTGGCCCCAGGTGTGGCTGGGCCTGCGGCTTTGGAAAATATAAGCCTTGGTGGTGTCCACGTGGTGTTAGGTGTGCAGGCTCACAGAATGCCAGAGCTGGGAAGGAAAAAGGTAAAACTATTGGGACAAAAAACAGATCAGTTGCAAGGGGTAAGGTTGGGGTAAGGAGAACTCTATGGGGTGATGGAAATGTTCTATATCTTGATTATGGGGGTAATTATACAACCATATACTTTCATCAAATTTAACAGAACTGTGTGCTTAAAATGAGTGAATTTAATCATATCTAAGTTAAACATCAGTAAAATTATTTTTTAAAAATGGCATGCCAAGGGGCCGGCCCGGTGGCGCACTGCTACAGTGCGCCACTTGGGAGCGTGGTGGCGCTCCCGCCGTGGGTTCGGATCCCACATACAGACCGGTTCCCGCTCACTGGCTGAGCGAGGTGCGGGTGCAACACCAAGGGTTGCGATCCTGTTGCCGGTCCCGGTCCGGTACGGGCACGACACTGAGGGTTGCGATCCGTTGCTGGACACGAAAAAAGACAAAAAGGAAAAAAAAAAATGGCATGCCAAATTATATTAAAAGACAATTTGATCTATAGAAGTGTGCATTATATTTGCTAAAGGTACCCATTATACTATACTGTTTCTTGCTAGTAATAAGAGCAATTTAATGGCAGTGTTGATGGACACGTTGTGCCCTTTGGGGAAAGAGTAAGAGTACAGTAAACCTTAAGGGAAAATGCATCAATTTATATAGAAAGAAAGAGAAAACAGTTTTCCAGTCCACTGATGGACCTTCGTGACCTTTAAATGCTATGATGAGCATTTAGGATACCGCGAAATAGCAGTATTTGCATTTTTAGATACTGTCTGTTTGGTGTTGCTGTAACAGAATACCTGAGTCTGGGTTATTTATTTTATTTTATTTTTTTCAAAAGATGACTGGTAAGGGGATTGACACTTGGTGTTGTCAGCACCATGATCACCCAGTGAGCCACAGGCCGGCCCTGCGGCTGGGTTATTTATAAAGAAAAGAGGTTTATTTGGCTTCCTGTTCTGACGGCTGCAGAGTTCAAGATTGGGCAGCTGCAGCTGGTGAAGGCCTTATGCTGCATCAACTCATAGCTGGCTTGTGCAAAGAGGGTACATGGTGAGAGAGGAAGCAAGAGAGTCAAGGAAGCCAGACTCTCAGCCTGCTCTCTGGTGACTAATCCAGTCCTGAGAGAGTCTCGCTCTAGCCTATTCATGAAGGATTCCTCCCCCGTGACCTGCTAGGTCCCACCTCTCAACACTACCACTCTGGCAACATGAATTTTGGTGGAGACAAACTACATTCAAACCATAGCACTATCTTTTCATTTTATTTAAATTATTAATGCTTTAAAGATTGCAAAAAAAGTACTCTTCTTGTACTGGCTATAAACCTTTCACTGTAGATAAGAAAAAAGAAATACTAGTGCCATTTCTTTAAGTAAAGGGCTGTTTGGTCTTTATATAATAATATATTTCAGAATGTTGAAAATAAATAAAAATGTTTCTGTGAAATTGCACTTATAGTGTGTTTTGACTTGTTCTAGTTTAAGTATTTTGTATTTGTGTTTGTTTATTGTCAGTCTGAACACTTCTGGAAAGAGTTACAGATATAAGCATATAATGTACAAGATGATTATTTAGAAAAATATTCACAATTCATAGCAAAACATAACTCAACTATGGTTGATTTAAACTGGTTTTAAAAATCAAAGATCTATTTAACTGACGGGATATAACAGGGCTTTAGAAAGGGCTTTATAACAGGGCTTAAAGAAAAGAAAGAGCTGATGCAACTTTACCACTTGTGGATAAAATTCTGCCTTCAACTTAACTTCGTTCAATCCCAAGTACAAATAATACTAAGAGATGTTTCCCATTTAAGCCTTACAAAAATACAACACAGCTTCAGGTCTTTAGGGGCTATATTGTAAAACACCATAAAATGGCAGTATTATTCCATAAAGGTCTGTGTGCTTGTATGCGCTTGTTCCTATCCTGTTATGTGTCTTTTTCTCTCTACCTCTTCTGTCTTTCTGCTTTATTGAGTGAGATATAGCGCAGAACATAAGCTCCTGAGAAGCTTACTTAGCCCTGTATCTCCAGGCACCTATCACAGAGCATTTCACGTGATAGGTGTGACAAATAGATGAGTGGGTAAGGTGCCAACTGTACTGGCCATTGAGATACAGAAATGACAGGAACAGAAAGTACCTGTTCTTAGCGTTCACAATCTAGTGGAACACACACATAAATAGACAACTATAATACAGTGTGTTCTAGTGCTGCTAAAATAGAGGCTTGCATGGATTGCTGTGGATGTCCATGCAGTGATAGAGGGATTCCGAAAGGCTTCACAGAGGAAGAGACATCTGAGCAAAGTCTAGAAGATGTTGTGAGTTGCCAAGTGGCGAAGAGTATTCCAGACAGAACAAACCACATACTCAAAGGACAGATGTTTAGAGAATGCAGAGTGAGGAACAAGGAGTAAAGTATCAGAAAATGTGGCCAGAAAGATGATTGTGGCGGGATAGTGAGGGGCCTTATTTATATTATAATAAAGAGCTGAATTCAGTAAGTTTTTTTACAAGTATGTGTACTTCAAAAATTCATATTTTTGTAGCATAACATACAGAAAAATACTGAAATCATATATGTATAGCTCAAAATTTTTTCATATGAACTTAACTGTGATGGTTAATTTTAGATATCAACTTGACTAGATTAAGGAATACATAGAAACCTGCTTAAAGCATTATTTTGGGGTGTGTCTGTGAGGGTTTTTCCAGAAGAGATTAGCATGTGAGCCTTAGTGGACTAGGTAGGAGAGATCCGCCCTCAATATGAGGAAGCCCCATCCAATCTGCTGCAGGCCCAAAGAGAACAAATCGGAGGAAAAGACAAATCTCCTCTACTGGCTGGAGCTGGGATCATTCTTCTCTCCTGTCCATGGACATCTGAACTCAAGACTATTCAGCCTTTCCTGTTAAGTTCCAGGACTTAACACCAGTGGCACCCCTGGCTGTCAGGCCTTTGGCCTCGGACTAAGAATCACACCATTGGATTCCCTGGCTCTGAGGCTTCTGGACTTGGACCGAGCCATGCTACCAGCATCCAGTTTGCAGATGGCCTGTCGTGGGACAGCTCTGCCTTCACAATTGTGGGAGCCAATAACCCTCATTAATCCCCTCTCAAATATTTCTACACATATCTTATTGGTTCTTTCTCTCTGGAGAACCCTGACTAATACAATAACCAACACTTAGAATAAATTACAGAGCACCCCGAATATCCCATCTGTGCCCTCTTCCAGTCACTATCCTCCCCTATGATAACCATTATACTGGCT